TGTTCTTCCACAGTTCCAATTGTCGTGTGAGTTTGTTCTCATATGCGTTGCCCCGCCTTGGTCCTTGCTGCTCTAGTATGCACCGTTCGGAATAGACACAAAGCGATGCGGCAGTAGGCGGGGTTCCAAGCGTTGGAGCTGGAGTAGATACATCAAACTTTGCGTTTGGCTCTTTCATTGAGCCAGACTAGCGCCGCCACATATGCCGTGCAACATGCAGAGTGAAGTTCCAATCTTCATATGCTACCAGCCACTGAGTATTCACATCTACCAGACAATTGATGCCTGGCGCTTCTTCCAGGTGAGGTGTATCGCTGCTGTCTGTGCCAGTTTAGCCAGCTGTTTGGTCAAAGGCTTGGCCGGGAAGTAAGAAGTCAACAGGCATGAGGCGACGTAATCTTGCTGTTGCCAGGCATGCTGATTGTTATGATGTCAACATTGGCGCAGTCTCAGTCGTTTCTCAACAATTCCACAACCTGATGAATTTACGTATCGACTTTGAAAGGGACTGGTGTGTGGCAAGAGCTGGTTCGTATTGTAGCTGTTTCATACGAGACTGTAAACTTGCAAGTGTTTGAAAGACAACATGTCACAGTTTGCTGCAGGCCAAAACTGACACCTTTGCAATTGCGTTTCCGCTTGGATCTCTTCAACGTGGGGTTGTTGTGTAAGCAAAGTTTCTGCTGCATCGCCAAGCTCATTTCCCAACTTGGACGAGCAACCTTCGAACTTGATGCCAGGAAAGATGAAAGAGCTCATCGTAAAGCTCCACGGTTCCGAGCCCCAGCATGTGCCGCAGCGGCTCTACTCTGGTTCGTCGTTTCGCGATCAGCACAGTTGGATTGCCGCATTTTACTTTTGCAGGGTGGTTGGCAATGGGCCATATGTTAGATCGCCTGAAGGCATGCGACTAATTACCTCACTTCCCGAGTTCTGCACTTCATCCTTTTGGCCAGACCACTTCAGTGGCATAGGAACAGTTTATCCACTCGGTTGGGCTTTGAGCCGTATGTTAGCCCCTGAAGCATGCGACGAATTCTGGCCTCGCAAGTTTCGGCTCGAGCATGGCTCTGTCCGCACGCCAGCCGCTGGGGCCGCTGCCTCCGGCCTTGCGGCCCTCTCGGCCGATCCAGGCCGCCCGGCCGAAAGCGGCTCAGCAACTGGCTGATGCTCAAAGAAAACCAAACCACGGATCGAACAATACGGATCTTTGGTAACGGATCTTTGGACTTCAACTTGTGGGTTGAAACATGAAACAGCTGGGAGAAGATTTCCGTTCGACACTTTTTGTGGTCAGCAGCAACCAAGGGTGGGTTCCTTTGTTTCTCTTGTTCGTTCTTCGGTCTTAGCTTTTTTTCTTTGCTTTCCTCTTCACTTCCAAGGGCAACGAGACGATTCCACCCACAAACCATTGCACGCGTCACATGAAGGCGTAGGAGCCAAAAAGCCGAACTGGCACGATTTATACAGCGCAGTCATTGTGTAAAGCTAGTGTAGGCAGCGACTCGGGTGAACTGCCTTGTCTGAGTTACGAAGTGTCCGGAGATGAGATCAGCAATCTTCATGGAGGATGATCGGATAGGCGCTTTGTGATTCTTGATCGTACACCATATTTGAAGAACAACTCAAGTGAGCTGCCAGGGGTCAGTACATAGCGACAGAGCGGAGAATCTTGGCGCCCCTGGCAGGGTACAGGAGTTATACACCAAGTCTACGAGACAACCGAGCCCATGAGATATAGCTCGCACCGGCGGTCAACTTGCGATTGGAACATGCTGCTTGCTTGTCACTACGAAACAGAACAGTTCGCTCCAAATCAGCAAACTTCACGAATTGCACCTGGCGCTTTCAGGGCTGACTCAACGAGGCACGCCCTGCCTCGCATGGCCAAAGCTCGCAGCGAAGGCGCAGAACGCGTCTCGCAGAACTGGCCGTTGTAGTGTCTTTGGGAGACCTCATGCAAGGCCTCAAGGGGCGGTGAAACATAAATCCAGGAAGGTCACTGAAGCATAGACGGGTTGATCCTGAATCTATCAAGCTCAGCCACAGAATCGAGTTGCCAACCGATCCATCAGCTGCAATGGCAGATCTTTGCTCCGCTTGGAGCACGTTTTGCTGATGCAACCCTTCAACATTTGACTTGGCATTGTTTTGGGGATTGCTTCACAGCGGCTTCAGCTGTATGAGGCATGTTATCGTTGAGCGTGTAATTGGGGCACAACAACTGTCCTGCTTTCCTGAATGAGAGCAGGCCCCTCATAGGTGAAGTTTCACGTCCAATGTGAAGGGCAGTGCAGGGATGGCCTTGCCATGTAACGACGCAATTTGTTTGGAGTCAGCTCTGTGTGATTCGGACCGTGTACCAAGGATACCCAGGCAGCCAAGGTTAGTCGCACAAGGAACCAAGGGGTCTGATGGGAGAAGCTGCGTGAGTGGAACAAGAGCTAAAACTATACCTTCACATACCTTCACAGATGTAGTTATATCATTGAAGGAGGCCTGATAGGTGTTACATCTCTCATGAGTGGTGGAGGATGGTGGAGGGTATCCGAAATACCAAGGCAATTGGCTGAAATCCCCCATGGAAGAGCCAGATGACTTTGAGGAGCACAGGAAATGAGCGCAAGTGAGTTCTGTTGAACTATTGCGGCATTCATTCGTGCGCATAAGGCTTGTTTCTCACGGTTTGCATGAAGTCGAACCGGCTAGGAGTACCTTCCACCTACCAAGTTGTGTACACATTCTTGCTAGTGCTCAGCAGGGAATGAGGGGATGACCCTTATAAGCCATCCCTGGTGGTTTCCTGCAAGGGAATCCCTGGGTTCATTCTCACATTCCCTAGCTATCGCACCAGCAAGCATTGAAACCTGCTTTTCATCGCATATGACTCATGTCAAGTTGTGGTGAGCGGAGGTGGCCACAAACGGTGAAATAAATTTTATGTTTACAACGAGATGTCCCAACTTATTAAGCCATTTCCCCCAGGATCGCTGATTTTTTTTGGGAACTTGATAGTGCTGGTATTTGCGGCGCGCGTTTTCCTGTGGTGCACAGGTTGCGTTGCATGCTGTTCCCTTCGCTCGCAACTAATTCATCGCCCTTGGTTTTTTTCAGCCCGCCAGGGCCGGGGCCCCGCAGAAGCTTGGAGCTTTTGCGGCGCTGGCCTATGGGAGGCTTCCAACACCTGGTGTGATCCAGGGTCCGTGATACATGGGAGGACCATTGGATGGACAACCACGAGGATTTGACCTTTCTCAAAATGAGGGTCAGACATGGTTTGGGGGAATATAGATCAAGCCGCACTTGAAAGACCAGTGTCAAAAATGCTTGAAAGATCAGGGCCTGTTTACTTCATGTACACCGGCATGTATACAAGCTCGTAGACAGTCTAGAACACGTTGGGGCTGAGTCAGTTCTAATGACAAGTAGGTGTGCCTGTGCCTGTGCCTGTGCCTGTGCGCGTGTGCGTGTGCGTGTGCGTGTGCGTGTGCATGCGTGTGTGTGGGTGTGTGTGTGTGTGAGAGAGTTCGGGCTGGTGTGTGTGTGTGTGTGTGTGCGTGCTTCAAGGCTGACATGATGTGTTGGGCAAAGATGGACCGCTACCCATCTTCTGCATGTGAATGTCATTGCTTTCTGGTCAGGGAAGTCTCACACGAGTGGATGATTATTCTGAGCTTCACTGGCAAGCACACGCTCCAAGCTTCGTTGATCGACAATACGACACATACGTCAGATCAGCTATGCTCACCAATTCTATACATCCGCTCGCGTTTCTGGCAGGTGGCGCAAGAAGAGGCTGAGCCGGAGCCAGCTGAGCAGGCACGCTGCCTTGACACTGAAGGGCCCTTGAGGTATGGGTTGCATTGATGACTTGCCCCAAAACGGCTTGACCTTCGATTCTCCAAGCATGTTTGCGTCGTTGTTTTTTACATGCCAGGCTTCTCTCCCGGCTCCAGTGACCAACGGCCGGCCCAGGTAACCAGACAGCTTTTGCCCAAGGAAGTTGTCGACCTAGTGTATAAAAGCACAATGTCGACCTAGCAGATAGCACAACGGACAAGAAAAGCCATGACCAACAGAAGGCGGGATCAGAAACTCCTTGCCAGCAAGAATTTTGGTTATTGTGTTCTGCGTAGTGGCAACAAGACCTGCTTGGCTGCAAAAGAGCAAACACACCAAGGAATCAGGGCCATAGCTTCCCCATTCTGTTGGTGTTTGAGGTCTGTCACAGAAGCTGAACTGACGGCAGATGATTGATTGGTTGACTCACTGCCGTCAAAACATTGTTTGTTTCTTCTGAACATCACCTGCCGGGAAACTGCTTCTTTTGGGGCCCCTATCTGCAAAGGAGTTGTTTTTTGCTGTTGGCACAGGTAGCGCCGTTCAGCACAAGCTCGCTTAAAGCCTGAGTCTGCTGCCCTTTTGGCAGATAGTCTGGTTGGTATTTTAGTCCATTTGTGGTTCGTATCAGTCTGTGGGTCGCTCTATCAGTCATAATGCGAAGTCCATTTGCCATGGGGAAAGATGTCAGGCCAACACCAATTCCCATGAAACAACTGCCTGGAAGCGCAAATTTGGGCCCTGCCCAAAATTGGTATGGCGTGAACTAGTTTACGAGTCTAATTGCCTGCCCGTGATCGTTCATGATTGATCTGAGAGGTTACAACCTGCAAGAAGGCCTTATACGCCTTGTCTGAGGGTCACTTCGGAAAAAGGCCCATGACCATTCCCGACAACACTGTGCCCATCGCACAGATACTATGGCTGTGTGCGTCAAATTGTTGGGGTCTCTCCAAGCAACTATTCATTTTTTGTCAGTGGGTGCTTGTAGTTTTGACACGAACAGACTCAATTACTGCTTGCACACACCCCCCACACGCACATGCGTATATATAATATAAATATATATATATATATATTAACATATCATATATGTAGTTTCACACCCATGATTGGGGTTTGCGGCATGCATCCACGAAGCGCATTTGCGCAGAAGTGGCATGGCTGCCGACCCGAGTGAGCTTCCGCCCTGCGCTTGTCGAGGCACCTCGGGCAGAGCTTCAGGCGAAACGAGTCGGGCTAAGCAGACTAGAGGTCTACAGAAGGGTGCATGTGGAATTCCTATTCCGTAGTTGTTCTTAGTTGCTTTAGTGGCTGGATTTCCAGTTAATCCACTAAAAGTTGGCCTTTTAGCAGGGGATCTGAGGACAGCTCAGATTCGGATTATGCTTGTGGTCCTACAAGCGTGTCATCAGCTTTAAGATTTGACTGCTTCTGGGTTCGGGATGCATTGGACATGGTGCTGATTGAATTTGGACAAGCATGCACAGGCACCTCAGTACCCAAGATGGGCATGAGGTTGTTGCAACACAGTTTTTAGATGAGGTACCAGTTTTGGTGATGCTTTCATGAGCTGATAAAGCAGAGACAACATTCGAAATGGCAATTTGGCGATGCCTCGTTTCGGAGATTTGGAAAGGGGAGACAAACAGCACAACTTGTGTGTTTAACTTTGCCTTTTCAGCCTCCAGATGGAACCAGTGGGAGACACGAGGAACTTAACCCAGGGTTTCCCTCACAAGGGTTTCTTCAACACTCGCAATACTTCTTTTCGCGAGGAAGTCCTTGCAGTTACACTTTGTTTGTCCAGGACATGTGTTGAATTGAACCCATGGATCACGGGCCATGCTGGCCTTCAGGAGAGCTGATGGGGGCAGAGTTGTACATCATTGGAACCGCCCACATCTCTGCCCGTAGCGCTGCTGACGTCGAGGAGCACCGCACGCGTCGTCTTGACTGAGCATGTGCCATTGGATTTGGGGTTGATCAAAGATCCTTTAAATGGGGTGACCAGGGGAACCATCGAACATACTATGTTCACCACTGAATGGGAAACGATACCCATGGTCATTTTGGGGCCGAGCGGAATATTGATCGACCCCCATTTTGAAGCAAATGCAAGTTCGGCGGTTGAATCAGTTGAATCATGGTTGGGCAGATAGTTTGCATGGGGCTGGTTCATGAAGTCAGACCGCTGAGGTACTAGCCTTCTAAGCGATGCTCGCATACACAAGGTCGCCAATCTGGCCTGAGGGGCAGAGACAAGGTGTAGAAACACTTGTCAAGGACACGAATCAGATGGCATTAGTTTTGAGATTTCACTCGTGCTTTATGCTGTGTGGGGAAGGAATACACGAGCTACACAGGCTCCCTGCGCCACACTTAACGTATTCGGCCACCTTGGGTAGTGTTCTGCTCCACGGGTGAGAGGGCTTCTCCATGGATGGTGTACCGCACACCTTTCGAGCCTTGTTGCCATGAGGAAAACCTTCTTCCGAAGGATGGATTTGTTCTCTAATGTCTTAATTTTCTCTAACTAGATCGGACAAATGTATCAAATTGTTGATTTGCTGCTTGGCACACACATATATATATATATATGTTTCAGTTGGTTTGATTCATAAGTCCATGGCGTGATCCATTGCTAGCTGGGAGGAGTTGATCTCCCGCATCCAGCCGGATAGCATCGTCGTGGAGCTCAGCCGAAATCGGATCAGCAGCCTCTATCCCGCGGGTGCCACCCAGACTCAGTGCCTCGTCGCTTAAACTCCGCCGGCGCCCTTTCGGCTCGGTGTGGGACGTTTTTCCGGCGGGACGTTGAAGTCGGGAAGGGACCGAAGTGTGGTGCCATGGTTGTCGGTTTGTTGGCTGGGTGTATGTTGAAAATATTGCTAACGGAAATGGTTGAGAGCCTGACATACGCAACAATGTGCAGAAATTCACTTAGGGTCGAAGCTGCTGCCACTCGTAGCCATAGCCATTCTGCTTCATGCGCGTGACACCGGTCCCTGGACGGTGTGGCAATGTGTCAAAAGTACGGGCATCTCGACCAAGCTATTTGTTGTGCCACAAAGCCACAAATAGTCGCTAGCCCCTTGATACATCCCCATCCGCCGCAGCGGAAAGGGAGGCTACAGAAGGCCAGATGGGAGAACTCGGCCAGGGGAAAACGCCCAGAGGCATTCCCAGGCCGCCAGACGAGTTGGTAGATTTGTTTGGATCATCTGGGAATGTGCCAAAGCCATGGGCTTGCAATCTTGGTGATTGATGTCATGTGACTCGTGTTAAAACAACTTCAAAAGGTCACCATTGGCACACGGCCATGTGCAACATCTTAGGAGTAGCATCTTGTGTGCTTTTCCGCACAGGTGGTAGAAGACCCTGCTTGCTTGCGTGTTTCAGAGTTTGTCTCAAGACAAGATGAAGTACAGTCAAAGGCATAGGCACTTGGCTATTGAAGCATAGCAAGAATCAACTCACACCCAGAAATGGCCAAAAGTGATTGGTGAACATGAATCCCCACCTAAATGATGTCCACCAAAGGGCCCCTTATTTTTAAAATTCATTGCCAAATAGACGTTGAGCCGACACATCGAAGCGACAAATGCACCAAGCTGAAGCCACGTGTCCGGAACGGCATGGCACAGTGGGCATTGGAAGCAGCCATCCCTGGCGCATTTTCCCGACGAAATGAGATCCCCGTCTTGCTGTCACTTCACCAGCTTTGTTCCAAGGTGGTGTGAAGAATCATGTCCCGCCCTTTTATAACCCAATGGAGTGGTTTTGACATACTCAAGCAGGGCCTGCCACATTGGTTGGCTTTCAATCCAAGGGGCAGTTCCGTTTCAGACATGGTTTTTGTATGCGGATGCCCTTCTTTGGTTTGGCTCTTCCAGCGAAGCAGAAGCAAAAGTGCAATTGTTCGGTCCTGGGTCCCCTTCAACACATGGCTGTGTCTTTCTTTTGAAGGGGGCCCCGCTAAAAAACAGGTCCGGGGAATTTCGAAGGAGAACCGTTGCCCCATGTTGGGTCCCGGGTCCAAATCCAAAAAAAGAGACGCCATCTCCAAATGGGGCGCTAAGGACCGGCTCTTTGCAGTTGAATGTGGGCACTACGGAGGAAGGCTTTCCTGTGATCCTGCGGCACATCGAGCCACTTGGCCTCTCGCTCTTTTTCTTTGGTTTGGTCCATCTGCGTGACTTGACTTTCAATACATGCTTTTGGGCTTCTTGTTTGCCAACTGAGTTACTATATCTCCTTGCCTCTACAACATTTTATGCAATATATACAGTTCAATCCGACTCAGGCCCTGCACAGCCTCAAGGAAGAAGTAGCACCCTGACGAACCTTGTCAGCGTGTTGCTGACGCTTTTGGGGAGCACTGATTTCCTCAATTTGCGATGCAAGCTGTGATAAGATGTGCAAAGACAAGCTTTTACATGTGTTGCTAGATTTTGCAGTTATCACGGACAAACGGCATACTATAAGTGCCTAAATAGTTAAAAACAAAGGGTTGTTTGGGACTTGAAAGCCAAATGCCGAAACGTTCACAAGACACTGATAATATATGAACAAATATGTACTGATTTGGTCCCTTATGTTCCCCTATGATTTGGTTCCCATGTTCCCCTCTGTTCCCCTATGTTCCCCAAGAACAATAAAATTGGTCCCTGATGTTCTTTGACTTCATGACTTGTATTTGAAAGCTTTGAAGCAATGCCTCCACGCCGAGGCCGCAGAACGGAGCCGATGGCCAGCTGATCATTTGCAATGCTGAGGGCGTGGAGGTATGGAAGCTCCGAAAGAGTCAGGGAAGGAATTGTTCTTCCATTTGCTTCATATTTTTTTGTGTTCTCTCTTGTTGGTTTGAAAGGACATCTATCACTACTGCATGCTGTTTTTTCCTTCTGGCTTAAGCCACTGGAAGTTTTGCATCGTGTTTTCAGTCAGTGTTTTTGGACATCAGCAGTGCCGGAAATCCTGCTTTCATGTCTTACCCACTTTTGACGAGACGAACAAAACTTTCCCAAGAAACGAGGTATTCTGCTTCCGCTCGTTGATGTGCCGGCCAAATGAGCTTCCGACAGGTCCCCCAGCGAGACACCTCGCTGTAGCAATTTGGGTGTGTCTTCTGAGGGTGCCCCTTTTTGATGGTTTCAAAGGAACGCCAAAAGGACACCCACCATTTTGGGGGTCCTCCAGGAGGATGTCGTGAACATGCGACAGCCGATTTCCAGCTTCCGCGGCCTGGCCAGTATTGTCGCACATATGGCGCGTGTTGCTACGCGATTTCAGAAGCCGGCCGCGGTTCTCAGAACTTCACGTCGACGTGTCCTCGTTGCGCTTTTATATTAGTGGGTCCTTTTAAAGGAACATACCCCCCTGTCAGGTTCCAATGTGAAGACCAGATGAAGCAAGCAGGTTGCCATAAACTGTTACCTGCACCTTTCGACATCTCGGCAAGCTGGGAGACATGTGGTTTGATGCCTTGCTGCTTACTGGCTTCAATTATTTTGTGCTTTTGTTGGCGCTATGATCATCCACAAGCACATCCTCATGAAATTGACCACCAGTCTGACCGGCTCACCTTGCTGCCCTGTTCCTGCGTAGCAAGGTGACCTTGATGATACTCCAGTCTTTGATTATCTTCATTTGTTACAACTTCTGTGGCATTTGTGGTCTTTGCGGCTTCTGTAGCTTTTGTGGCGCTTGTTTTTGTTGCCTTTGCTGTCTTTGCTTTTGCTGTATTCAAGTTGGAGCCCTCCGCGGTTCTTTGCGGACTTGTCCTTCCATGCATACACGGTTGCATTGTTTTCTGTACTCTGGCTTTTGGAGTTTTTGGTTCGGTTTGCCCGTTTGGCTTGTCAGCTTGTCAGGTAAGTCCTAATTGGTGGTTTGGATGGTGGGAACTGGGGACTTGAAGCCCTGGTTCTTGTAGTAAATGAGGAAACCACCCCGGACCTTCACCAAACCACCAATCCACACCACCAATTAGAGACACAGTATACAAGAAATGAGGAAACCGCCCCTAACCACCAAACCACCGATTCGGCTCCAAACCAAATGTGGGAGGCTGCCCCTGAAGACTTTGGGCCTGGCCAAGACCCTGGCATTAGCACAGAAGTGTAATTCCAGCTTCTTGAAACAAAGCCAACAGGGAGAATCCGCAAGCCCGCTCCAATTTTAGAAGAAACATTTGTTGAACCGAGGCAGGTCTTGTTTTTTGCTGTTTCGGGATGCTTTTCGCTAAACCATTGTCCATGCAGTCTATTTTGCGTTCTATCAGCTAGGGTTTGGCGAGGTTTCTTGGAGTCAACCATGCGAGCCTTAGGCGATGGCAAATGGCTGGAGACGGCCTTTGAGAAGCATCGCAGCTCGGGTCTGCCATCTTGGAAACACAGCGCGCAGATTTTTGGAGTGCAGCCTTCCCTCGCTGGTGCGATAGGGAATGTGGGAATGAACCTGGGAGTCCCCTGAAAGGAAACCACCAGTTGGATGGTTTGGATCGGGGGGATTCCCTCATTCCCTGCTGAGCACCAGCAAGTTTCTCATGATGAAGGTTCGTTTGGGAGTGAACGCTTACTTTTGGCGAGTTATACTTGAACCGAATGAAACTACTCCATGGGGATTTGCAGTTCGCAGGTGTGTATGATGTCTCTTTTGCGGCGACATGTCAAACTCAGCGTTGTGCTGAAACCCCGCTCATATCTATCACATATTGTTCCACAAGATTTCAGCTAGGGTTGCTGCAAACTGATTAGGTTTGCTTCCCAACACGGCACGAGGGAACACTAGGCACTCCACTCAAAGGTGGTCTGGTAAGACAAACAGGCATTGTTGCCCCTTTGTGACTTCCGTTTGTTGCCCCTTTTGACTTCCGAGTGTCGAATTCCATTTGTTCACCTCTTGAGGCAACGCCGTTTTCATGGACACACCTGGGTGTGTCTTTTTTTCAGGCAACTCCTTGTCTGGTGATTTCACAGGGAATCCAGGAACACCGTTGCGCCATTTTGGGGACCCGGTCGCCTAAGCTGTCGCGAGTCACCCGAGGATATCGCAGCGAGACGCTGAAGGTTTGGCCGGCCATTGAGCTGATGGCTACACTGTCCAACCGACTCTTCCCCTTAGCGCAGAGGGCGTTCTACATGCTGCTTGGACGAGCGAGGGAGTTTGCTCATTTGTTGGGCTTGGTTGGAACCCATTGGTTGGAGCCATCGATGTTACCCCCAAGTGGGCCTTCCTCTCAACTTCCCAAGTGTCTGGACTGTAAGCTTTTGGGAAGACCATGATGGCAAATCAAAAGTTTGTTTTCTTACCAACCCACTCAGAAATTATGCCCTGGTATGAGCTGGAAGCAACAGAAGGAGCGTGGCTGATTGACTAGAGTGGATGACAGCTGAAGACTGTATGTTTGTTTGCCCTCCTCTACATGCAAGCAGGAGTCTCATGCACTACGCTTTAGGAAAGAACTCATACATTCAAACTGCTCATGGTAATTGCCAGCTCACTCCTCAGGCTGCTTATGTTGTCCTTCAGGAGCGGCTTTGACCTGGAGCATTATAAATCGGTTTGCTTCCAGAAGGCTCAGCTACGCTCTTCTAGAAGCCAAGGCTGGCAGGAATAGGTGTCTCAAACTGAGTCGCCGCACAAGGCGGTTATATACTTGACATGTGTTGTTTGCTTATATGATCCAGCAATCTGTGTCTATCCATCACGCGTTCTGCTTGAGATGCACACCTACCCAAAGCTGTTCTCAGCACCTTTTTCTGCAATGCTTCGTGCAAATGAATTATAGGTCGATTGTCTTGCACGGGTATCAAACCGAATATGCTGCCTTTAGAGTATCGTTGGCCAAATCCCACAGACTGACTGTAGAAAGAGACGGCCATCACGACACTTCCTTTGACCATTTTCTTTGAGAACCAAGCGGGAGTGCAGAGCATGAGGCTGAATCATCCGATTTAGTTGGTGTCGACAAAACGATTTGGCAGTACTTTATTCAAAAATTAAATAACGACCTCATACACTTCGTGCAAACCTTGGTTGCTCATTTGTTTTACCACATGTTGGTTTGTCTCTAAGCGCACCCCTCGAAATGGGTGGTGACCCTTTGTTCTCTAACACACCTCACAGAAACCAACAAACGGTACCCTCTAACAGAGATGCCCAAAGTTGTTGTTTGAATGGTTTCACTCAACGGTCTTTATCAATCATCAGCGGACTCCCTTCTCAGAGCACCCAAAGCGGGTTGTATCCGCTTGCGTCCAAGGAATACTTGTGTGTGTGTGGCATCCAAACTCGGAACCCATTGATTACACGAGTAGACCCTTGGCCCTTGTCTGCCAAAACGAGAAGGGAGGCAACTAACTACCCTTCCTCCCACTAACACAGCATTTCGGGAGGGCACCTGGAGGATTAATTTCCTCAAGGGACCCTGTGGCAACTCGGGGGGGGGGGGGGAGGGTAATTAACGGCGATCCATTTATTAGACTATTAGCCCCCTCCATTGTTGCTAAAGCAAACAGGTTGCAACTAATTAGCTATCAAAAGCTTGCAACCACAAAATTCACGGCGATCAAATGCTTGACGGTAACCATAGCTAACATTAGCATGAAACCCAAACAATCGAACCTGGTGAGTGTTCCCGAGACATGGACTTGGGCTTGCGAGCCCAACGGGCTGACCCCGACCCGGCCGACCTTCAGAGGTCCGTGGGCACGGTGCGGCACAGCGGCGGGGAGTTCGCGGCCGCAGCGCGCCAGGGCCGCTCCCTGAACTGCCCTGCGCTCAGTGTTCCCCAAAGCGCCAGGGTGGGCGTTGGATTGAAACCAACATCCATTTGGGTCTGTCTTTTTTTGAAGCTTGAACCCGAACCCCCCCCCAAAAAAAGAAGAAGAAAGAGGTGCCTTCGGTTTTTGCCGGTATGTTTCCCTTGAAAGCCACAAAACGAGGGTTCCCATCCAGCAAAGATACTTCCAGTTGCTTGAGAATAGTGTGTTATTCCCCTTGTTGGTCTCAAAGGGAATCGGACTTGAGTTAATGGATGGTCAGGTAACCCTTAGTTGCTGGTTTGGATTTGGATATAAGAGAAGCTAGCAACCAAAGCACCAATCCAAGCCACCAATTAGAGGGAACTTGATTGAGGATATCCTTTTTGGGGTGGAAGGGAACAAACAGGAAAACCGCCCATTTTGAAAGTCCCACTGTCGCCACACCTGTCAGGGTTCATGGGGCGCACCTTGCCAGACTTAATCTATCGTTTGAACGTGTTGCCTTTTTGGTTTGCCATGTTTTTTTCCCCGTGTCTTATCCGGTGCTTATGAATCAGGCCATTAGACCCCCCCTTAGACCCCAAGTTTGGTCGAGGATAATGAAGCTTGGATAGGGAGGATGCCCTTAGGGACACCTGGCAAGGAGAAGATTCTGCACATCGAAGCAACACAGTTTGTCCAAGAATTGGTTGCCATCGGAAAAAGGGTAGCCTCAATCAGGTTCCCTCTAATTGGTGGTTTAAAATTCGATTTCTGCCTCTGGTTCTGGGTAAAAGAGAAACCAACCATCAAAAAAGGCACCCAAGTTGAGACAGAGGAGTGTACAACTTGGATTGCCCTTGCCGGAAGGTCCGATCGTCCTGGGGGATGTTGAGAACGAGGCCCGTTGGAGGTGTGCCCTGCCAAAGCTCTTCGTTTCGAGCCGCCGCCAGCAGCTGGCGGCGGTCGAAACGAGCTGGGTGTTCTTTGTTTTTTGTTGCCTTTGATTTGCTCGAAGCTCAAGCTGCTGCACTAAGGACTTATTGCTTAGACTTGGTTTGTTACCCTTGAGCAGGGAATGAATGAGGATGCTTACGTGCCAGACCGCAGAGCACACCTTTGAGATCCACATAGGCCCTGGACGGGGCTTGGTCTCCTCTTTGCATTCGCCCTGAACGCGATGACGGGTTAGGTGAATCCAGCGGCGTCAGCGCTTGCCAGGACCTGTTCGATCCCCTGGGAGCTTTGGAGGTCACTCGGGAGGACGGATGCGTTTGACCAAGCTTGCCCATTGCTGCACAATGTTATTGGTTTTGCAGAGTGCTCAAGTCGCATGTGCCAATATAATCCGATAAAGTGTGCGCAACAACATGACAAGCCACTCAATTGCGATCATGTGCTACATTGAAAACACAATGTCTCGAAATACAAAACAACGCGGTGCGCACATAGTTTCAAGGCAAGGATGACTCTGTATAACAGCATGCTTGCTGTTGTTTGTTTCGCCTCGTTGAATCGGAGGTATGCATGTACTCCCGCATTACATCTTCAACCATGGCATGAGCCGAACAAGCCATGTGTACACCAAATAAACAAAGCACTATGTTAACACATTGGAGTTGATCAAAAGGTCCTTGTAAGGACTTGTATTGTTTAGGAGCAAGTTTCGCGAAAGATCTGCGAAAGACCGTGAAGCTTCTTGCAAGGTTCCGCTCTTAGGTCCCAGGACGGAGCGGTCTCGCAAAGAATGGCGTTTTCCGGAAGCAGGAAGTGTGATCAACCGCCGTATGTCTATATATATATATATGTATGTGCATGTCATTTACATATACCCAGTTCTTCCCTGGGCACTTTGTTCCGTTCTTTTCCGTTTCGAGCAAAAAAAACATTTCACCCAACAGGCTTCAACTAAGAGAAACCGCTCAGTTTGAAATTTGCTCTGGTTTGTGTCCGCAAATCATTTCCCGCTGATTCCGCTCATGTCCCGTCGATTTCAGCTCGTTTTCCGGGAGAGAACTTGCCAAAGCAAGATTTCTGCTAGTTTCATGTTTTTCCGCTCAAAATCTGAAACGAGCAAAACTAATGCCCAGAGCTCAAAAAGTCACCAAAAGGAAGACCTCGATATATATATATATATACATGTATTTGTCTAATTTCAATAAACACGACGAGATGTATATCCCCCCCATGTTGAAATGACGCTGCTCGCTCGTTTTCCACCTGAGCACCTGGACGCCCCTTCTGACCCTCGAGCAATTGGATCATTACCCAAAAACATTGGGCACCATTTTGAACTGGTCATAAAACAAGCTCCAACTCCAGGCAATTCGGCCAACATTCGTACGGCGGTTTCTTGGGCGGCTGCGGAGGACCCTTTCTGGGTGCGCCTGGCGGGTCCTTTGGTGCGGCCGTCGGATGGCGGCATCGACCTCTGGAAGGTGACCTGAATGCCAAATGCCCCTCATGACTGCAGCTTGTAGTCACTGGCAGTAGCATTGTGCTTCCACGGGGTTTTGAATTCAGCCAGGAGGCAGTGAAGAGAGTCAACGCAAGAAATAGGAAGCCAGCTAAACCATTTGCAGCGCTCATGAATGCTAGCATTTATCCCACCGTTTTCCGCTGCTCTAGCTGCACCAGTGCCTGCGGTTTTGCAGTCTTCAGGTTGGTGTCTCATTTCCACAGCAAACCCACACGCCGCCAATCCCCATAGAGGGGTTGGGCTCTGAAACGCATCCGGCAGGCTCTGAAGCACGTCTTTGCCGGAACGACCAAGCCGGGCGCTGGCGCAGCGATCGGCGCTGTATATCTGGCGCTGCTGATCTGGGGCTTTTGGTCAGACGAGGTGTCGTGACTTGGCAGACCTGAGAGACTTGTGGTTTAGTTATTTTGTATTTTATGGGAGGGGCAAAATCCAAGAGCGCCAGTGTTTCTTTTTCAATCCACACTGCGGTTGTTCAGCATCAAGTCGCATTCCTCGATTTTGAGGCATAGGTTTACACTGCCGTCACCTGAATCCTGTTTCACACTTAACTAGATAGCTACGGAATTTCGGAGGGGGGGGGTGTTTGTTTCGGGCAGCCAGTCCCGATCTGAGGCAATCGCTGCATGCCACGGTGGATTTGAGCTCAGCCCCTTGCCTTGAGCGACGCAATAAGTCCATTGCTTGGGACTCGACGAAGGTCTCCAAAGCGAACCACGTTAAACGTTTTCCAACGCGTTTTGCCAGGCAAATGCGACACACATATACACACACAGAGGTTTTCGGGACCAGGGTTCACTGGCTCCGAAAGAAGCAGACTAGCCGCTTGAAAGGTCTACGACTCACTTTGGCAAGATGTGGGGGCTCGTTCCTGGTTTGCCTACTAAAGTGGAAGCTGGAGGCACTGAGTCATGCTCCTGTGCTTTCAGGTTCCACCGCTGCTGCTGGCGATGAGCGCCACCAACACGCCGCCCAGCTTCAGTCTCCAAAACGAGGGGATCCTCCAAATGGACGGATGAAATGGAAGTATACTCGCAAAACATACACAAGTTTCCGCTGGATACTTCTGGACATGTCGATATACGAAAACATGGGCCTTGGGTCATTCCAATGTGGAAGCTTCGTGAGGTTCATCGCATCGGTCATCATTTTTCTGCTGACTGCAACGCGGGACGAGCAGCTGTACCGCGCGCTGAGAGAAGCTGCGCGTACAACTGTTGCCAAACAAGGCCTGGACAGAAAAGACAACTAACACCACCAGGATTCCCTAGATTCTTCCTTCACCCTTTGGCATTTGGGCCAATGAAAAGTGAGTTTCCTTTGGGTAGGGTAATGTTTGAAGAACACCTATAAGGAACCCTGACCACTTCACACGCTGTTGATTCTGCGTTTTTGTTGTTCAATTGACCGACGGAGTTTGTTGGGCTCGGAGTGAGCTGCATGAACCTTCATGCATTTTTTGGAAAATGGTGACATTTTGAATTGGCGGCCACATCCTGACAGGCCATGGCAAGGTGGTGATGGTGTGCGGCGTTGCGCATGTGACACTTGGTGCTTGACAAGTCCTTGGGGTCTGCGGTCGAGCTGTATTCAAGGAATAGCCGATAGCCTTTTGGGTTTTGCCTTTGGGTGTCCATCATTCTACCTTTTAGCCCGCAAGCAGTTCAACCTTTTGCAGGGATGTCAGTCTGGTCAACACAAGTTTGCAGCATTCGAGTTGACCATTGTTTGGCCACGGGCATGTGATCTGTGTATGTGTGTGTGTGCGCGCAGAGTTGTTTGGCAGCACCCCCTCACCATATGTTGAAGGATAGGCTGGATCGGTTTTCGGCCCATTGTGTCGCAAGAACCTGACTTCTTGCGTTCCTTTTCCAGCGATGCATGTTGCCACAAATTTGAGAATCAGCGGATTGCAGAGAGATTTTGCAACTTTTGCGCGGTCGGATGATGCACTTGGACTTGGTCCTGTTTTGTTGTGGCGGGGTACCCACCAAGGCTACGGGTTGACTGGTGTCTGGCGGGCCGGAGACTGGGGCGTTTCAGCTGAGGAATGGCATCGCCCGGCATGTGGCCAAGGCACGTGCCGCCGGCCCGTGACCATTTGTCCGGGTCGAGTCTGGGGGTTTAGTGTGGCCACGCTTGAGTATCGACCTATCGCTTGAGAGAATTTCAATCAGCGATGAAGGGCACCAGGACTACACCCCAAAGGTGTGCCAGGGGGGTGTTGTGGTGCTAAAAAGCATCGCATTGCAGTCTTTTCTTTGGTCACTCGCAGTTTGAGGAGGATCAGCTGCATTGATTCCAGCTTCGACTGTGAAAGTGCAGGCGCAACCCTACGACAGATTGCTATGGAAGCCCTTGTATGGTTTGCATCGGAATGAGGACACTGATTCTGCGGAAGTGGCCCCTTCGGGATGCGGCATATGATGACCCGTGTACAGCAGGAGTTGCGGCCCGTCACACGTGCCATTTTGTATTCGGCGAGCTCATGGGTGAAACGAGCTCACCAAGGGTTGTCAGTCACTCAGGGGTTCCTCAATTTGGGTGGCTCCTCTTTTTTACGACGAGAACACCCCAAAATGGCGCAAGGGTTTCCCGTTTGGTTTCCTCTCAAATACCCACTTCAGCTCCAAACAACTACAAACCCATTTAAGTTAATGAAATACAGTATTCAATTTTGTGCAGGGGATGTCCGTAAAGAGGAGGACGTGGCAAGCTGACCAGCCAACTCCACAATGAAGTCTTTAAGACCAAGAACAGCATGTGTTTCACGATGCCAACGCATCTCGTATCACCGAGCTGGGAAGTGGCAAGTGCAAGAATGGCTTCACTTCCGCACCGCTCTCCCACGCTGGCAATTTTCTGCCAATCTTCCAGTCACTGCCAGAAGTGGCTCTTGAATTAGCAATCAGGTAAAGTTCCGCCATGTGTGTCAAGCACCTTGGATCGTGATGCCAAGGCATCCGTTGCCCAGCTTGACACGATGCGCGAGGTTCCAGTCGAGATGATGCGTCCAAAGCTGCGTCAGGGTAATTGAATGTGGCTTCCTGTCTACGTTGCCATTGCTGCAGATGGGCGCATCTCAAATTTATGTGATTCATTTGCCAGTGAGGCAGACCACGGAGCTTGCAAGGAAAGAATGCCCGTGCCGTGCCATGAATGTATCTTGTACGGGGGCATTCGCGTTCTAGGCAGCAAGACCCCTTCACGGCGTGCTTGAGGAGCCTTTGATCTTTTTTGAAGCAGCTCCAAAAGGGTACCTTCAAAACAAGACGCTCACATTTATCAGTCATGGCCATATTCTTGTAAAACCAATAGAGGAAAGGCCAAAAGGCGGCCCCCGCACGCCCGCGGCGTTTTTTTATTTCTTGAGGTCAGGAGCGTGAGCTTGGCATCTTCCCCGCGAAGCTGCACACGGACCTGAGGAGGGGAATCGTGCCTGGGACCAGCTGTCAAGGGCTGATTGTATAGGTCCGTTATATAGACAATCACAAGGGTTTGATTGGTTGGTTGGATGGGTTGGTGGGTCTTCAAAGGCTGATTGTAGAGGTCCTCATGGCTCTTTTTGTTGGACCTTGCAGTAAGCCATAGCTAACGGTCAATTGACCCATAAACTAGGGGTTGATATCAGGGGTTCATATGTGGGAATATGCATTCAGCCTTTGAGGGCTCTTGTTGGATTCGCATTGGCTGTTGGTAGCCAATCACATGGGGTTTTGTGGGTCGGATGGGTTGGGTGGGTTGGATGGGTTGGATGGGTTGGGTGGGTTGGGTGGGTTGGTTGCTTGCTAGCATGCTTGCTTGCTTGGTCGGTTGGTCGGTTGGTTGATTGGTTGAGTAGTTGGTTCATTGGTTGGTTGTGGTTAGTTGGCCCCAAAACCCCTCGACAGGTTCTCGAAACTCCCAGATTTTGGGAACGTTGGCGGTTGGCATCCACCACGGTCTTAGCTGCTGGGGCAGCGGACCTGAGGGACTGATGCCTCGATGACTTGATCTCAGAATTTGTCCGATCAACCAAGACCCATGCTTTTGATCTTTAATGTGTCAATATCAGGGGCCTTTTTCGGCTGAAAGATGAAGCCAAGCGCCGGGAGAGAGCCCCTTTTTGACGCATTTGCGTTGCTTCTCCTTGCTCAGTTGCCCCCCAATAAACCAACCCCTACGGTTTCCTTTAAGGGAATCCCCAAACGGTTCATTCCCAACACCCGGTCTCGGTCATTCCCTACCTATCGCACCAGCAATGCGAATCAAAGAAGCGGAGGCATGTCGTGGAGATGCTGCGCCGGGGCAAGCAACCTCGCTTTGCAGGCGGCAGCGGCAACACCATACTCAAGCACCTTCTTTGTAAATAGGGCTAACACCTTGACCGCCAAGAGGGGTCTGTTGATCAGCACTCATGGTTCACCTTGCACCTTGTATTTTGAGGTTGCGATATCAACATATCAACACAACTTTTGATATTATTAAATTGCAAGCTCAAACGGTGAACCTTTGACCTTGTTGAGGACAAATCGTCAGACGAGCGGAAATCGATAAAAAATCATCATCCTAGTGTGAAGCGGGCAGGTTCGCGTGTGCTTTGCGCGGGTGAACACCCGCACGACATGCTTTAGGATGGTTCTGGAGGAAAGAGCCCTACAGCTGTACACCGCGCCTTTTGGAGGACAGAGCCTACAAGCTTTCAAGTATGGATCCTTGACGCCGGCCTGGGAGAAGTAAACATGGGTCGCAAACAGAGCCCTTTCTCTGACTCGCGACATGTGCTGCTTTCAAAGTGGGTTCACAAAGGGACCAATGTTTACCTTCCATGACAGCAGGTTTGCCGGGTAGGTGTCTTCATGGGGTTTGAAAGTGTGTATATCAAGATCCCCCAACTGGCCTCTGTAAATGGAACAAGTCTTGTAAAGGGGGTCCTGGGAGCTTCCATGGAATCGCCTAGGGGAGGGTACAACCCCCAAACTGGAAAGCGGAGATCGGGCAGGCGAGCGCCTCGCTCTCTTGGAGGGCGCGCTTTCCTCATCCGAGTTCAGGCCGGCCATGATGCATCTGCAAACCGGCAGGTTGGGGTAAAACTTCAGCCGGCCATGACCTGCAAACCGGCAGGTTGGCATAAACTTGCTCAGCCACACCTTGGCCACCTTCAAAGGGGAACCAAAAGGATGCTTAAACAATAGGTGTCAAATGCGGGGTTGGTTTTCCCTCCTACGGGGTTGGTTTTCCTTCCAGCGATCATACAGATTTTTGTTGCGGCCGGAAGGCAGGCGATTGCCAGTCGCGTTTTCTGGTGTTTGATATCCTTTGCGCATGCCTTGGTTGATTTTGCCGAATGCCTTGCAAAGTTTGGGAACTGTTGCAAGCATTTAGAGAAACATGCTGGAATTGTTTCCCTGCGGCATGCTGTTTTGGGTCGCAAATGCAACTTCTAGGGTGCTCAGCGCTGTCAGTATACTGTTCGGCCCATCTTTGAACGCGATGATTGCTTTCAGAGATGAGACTTGGGTTATTGGCCTGATACGCAGCTTGTGAAGCTCACAATGCTAGCTGGGAGACCTGTAGCCATGTCATGTGCTTTCTTTGAGCATGCGATCGGACCTTCGTTGACTTCTTGCGTGCAGATCTATTGCCGAACTCCGGCAACAGATTGAGGCGCAAGCGCACACGGTTTCGTCGAACCTCAAGTTCATGAAATGGATAAGCAAGCTTTTGCCTAGTCATGGGGTGGGGAAGTTAACTTGGCTTCCACACTGAACGAGTTCTAAGTTGACTCATCACCAATACTTGTGCATTGTTCAGTCTCTTTTATGGGTTCTACTTTCTTCCCGGTTGCCGCTTGTTTATGCTACTTATGCTTTCCACCGCAATTGTCTTGTCAAGTTTGACGCTGAGCAGCTCGCCAAGCACTTTATAGGCCCTGACGCTGAACCTTCTTATGAGCTCACTTGTTGCTTGGTTTGTCCGAACTTTAGGCCACTCCAGCTAGCAAGTGAGAAGCAACTGGCCACCACTTTGCTTCTCAGAATGGATTCAGGCGTGCTTGTCAGACATGATTGCACATGTGGTGGGCAAGCTGATTGAAAGTCTCGATACCACAAGCCTGTCGCCCCAATAGGTTGGGATAGTTTAATATTGGTCTCCTCGGAGCGCCCGTTTGGAGCCCATTTGGAGCCCGTTTGACAGTGGGGAATGATGGAAGTTCCAGTCAAGCTCAGACCGGCGTTTTTGTTTTTCTTTTTTCGTGGGATAATTATGGGCAGAGACACTCAGGCCGGTGGCCTGACTTGCAAACCAACATTCTCTGTGTACAGCTTCCGGTGTGTTCATGAATTTTCACAGGGTTCCCTATATTTCCACTTTGGGTGGCTTTAAACATCACCTTTTGGGCATTGTTGAAGTGAGTTTCCTTTCAGTGGGGTGATGTTTAAAGGACAAATGTGTGGAACCCTAGCGGGACACTGTTCCACCCTACGTGGAGGGACCCTGCACTTGTTTCGCTGTCTCAGAGGCTTGGAAGGAGGAAGACCGCGCCTCCTTCGACGCAGATCGTGAGCAGCTCAGAGAGTGAATGAGCGAGCACTGGTACAAAGGCTGGCTGAAGAAACTTAGCCCACATCAGGCATGTAGGAAAGCCTTCTAGTCCAGGTCCCAAACCAATTTGTTCAGTGCCGTTTGGGTGCGTATCTTCCTAAAGAGACTCTTTGGCCGCCTTAGATTCAGAGCCCCTACGAGCGACACCCAGGCAAGACATGCCTTGAACAGGAGCATTGCTAAGCAGGAGTTTGGGTAAGTGCAAAGATATATTACTTGTCTGTTATGTTTGGGTTTGAAATGCTGCTAGCTTGTGTTGCCAGGAGCCAAAGTTGCCGGTTCCTTCCAGAGAGCTTAGGCTACTATGACTCCGAGCGCACGGCCGGGTACACGGAGCACAACAGGGGGTCGCAGGACAGCTTTCTTGTTTGCGGATGGGGAAAGCGGGGGCTTCTTGCAGAAGGTTTAGAGAAGTGACTGTGACTCTTGTCAATCTACAGAATATACTTATCTACACATGATATATATATATACATACATACATAAGTGTATATGCATTTGTTTGAGTGCGTACATGCTGAGGTTGTTGCATTGTTATTGTTGTCAAAAAGCTGCAGCAATGACAAAGATGAGCAGTTGAGCTCATCATCAAGCGGACATGGATCATGAACCCGCATATTTGGGCCAATGGTGGGCGGAGACTTTGCATTTCGTTGACGTGCAATGTACTTGTGCCACATGAACAACATGTCGATGTTAGGAACACTTCTTCGCAGCCTTGACCCTTTCCTTAAATGCAGCTTAGCACAGACTAGGAGCGTTGTTGGTGTCTCCGGGCTCCCACTTCGCTTTGCGAAGGAGACTTTGGCCAGACGGACGCTTCAGCTGTGCTCCGTTCAGACGGAGAGCACGGACCAGGAGCCAAGGATTGAGGGCTGAGCTTGTCAACCTTTGCAGCGACATGTATCATATGTTGAATACATATATATATATATATTTACACATTTCAAATTCATATCCAGCGGCACATGGATGTGATTGTGTCTTTTGGGGTAAACACATAAGACAGGCACGGCGGGTGGAGAGATTGCACCCTGTGAAATCAAGTCTTCCCGGTGTAGGATTTTAAGGAGCGACCAGGGATGAGACTGCTGGGCATGCTACCCATCTTGGCCTTGCTTACAAGGAGACCCTTCTTGCGGCACCTCCTGCCTGTCCTTGCAGCACACAGCCGTCAGCCGTTGTGTTGCGCTCTATCATACACCCTGTCATAGAGGTGAGTGATTTGCTGCTGCTGCGCCTGCTGCTGCTGCTGCTGGCTCCTGTTAGTCGTTGGTGAAAGGCTGCTGGTTGTTCTATGTTGTTTGCTGCTTGCGGGGGGGTGCTGAAATTGTGGGGGTGGCAACCATGGCATGATTTTGGTGTGGTTGTTGTTGTAGTTGTGGATGATGACACTGCCTGTGTTCGCCGAGTAAGCATGTTGACACTGCGTGTGTTCGCCATCAAATCTGGTTTCAAGTTGTTCTTGGCTTCCCAAATAGCACTTCATGTGTCAGGGAACAGACCGTGCAGTAGATGTCAGCCGTTGAGCCACATGCCAACAGGTTCCTTGAGACCCAGCTTTGTTCCGCTTGGCATTTTGCAGGTGGACCTGGGCTGCGGCAGTGGGCTGTCCAGCAAGGTCCAATTCTATGCGTGCGCATGCGTCTAATTGTGCTCTCCAATCAGTCCAATGGAAGCTAGGGGAAGTTTTTCTCCGTGACTTTCGGAGGCAAGGAGAATTGGGGCCGAAGGATGTTCAGACGCATCCTGGCAGTCCTCTTGAGATGCCACAATGTTTGCCTCATTCTGCAGAGCCGGCCGGGTTTGTCTCAAAATTCGGGGGGCCCCAACGCTAGCTGGTTTCCTGCTGGTTCCCTTTAAACCAACCTCAAAAAGGGTGCCCTCAACAAAGACACACCCTGCTGCAAACCAACGGAGTGTGAGGACCTCGCAGGAACCCGCATGTCAGCTATTCACACTAAATAACCAGGGTTTGTTGTTCTTTGACCCGAGCTTTCCTCTTCCATTTTGCCAAACTTCAACCCTTGTCCATAGCAAGTGGCAACCTTTGACCATCAGGGCCCCGCCTTTTATCGTTCAGGCGGGCAGCCAATGCCACTTGGCTGTCATTGGTGTGGACCTGTCCTCCGAGATGCTTCGCTCCGATGAGTGGGAGGCAATTTATGTGGCCGTACTTGCGCGTTGGGTCTGGGCAACACAGCGGGGTGATGTCAAACATGTGGTCCCTTTTAGGACCCTGTTGCTGCGTTTGAGGGCGGGGCTACCAACATGGGCCCCAATTTTGATGCTCCAAGAGTTCCTCGGCCTCGAATGCAGGTTGAGATAGTAGCTTAGCCACTTGGAACAACCCAGGCCCACGCAATGCTCGGCCTGCCACAGAACATAGAACATATGTTCAGGGACACACGTTGGTATATATCTCAAGATGTGTGAGGTTTAAATGAAGGCCTTTTTTCCCAAGCCCCCCCCCCCCCCCCCATGGATTTGCTCGGCCTCGCCTTCATATATCCAAGCGCCGCGGGCCTCGCCCGCCTTGCGGCAGGCGGAGAAGCACCTGTCACCCATGTCGGGGGAACGCCTGCGCTGCGACCTAGCGCAGCCGTTGCCCTTCCGGAGCCAGGCGACTGGGACACATCATTGATTGCCAACAGGCATGTGGTGGAATCTGTCTTGCGAGTGTGTGTGTGTATATGTGCGCGTGTGTTTTGCCGGTGCTTACATAATCGCTTCCTTGCTTGGCTGTATGTTCCTTTGTGTGCGTGTGTTTGTCCACTTCTTTGTTTGTCGTGTGCTTGTGCGCTTGTGTGTGTGTGTGTTTTGTGTTTGTTTGTTTGTTTGTTTGTTTGTTTGTTTGTTTGCTTGTTTGTTTGCTTGTTTGCCTGTTTGCTTGTTCTTGTTTGCTTGTTTCGACTGTTCGTTTGCATAAGCTTGGCTATTGGAGCACGTATCCATGGTTGAGTCCTTCGCGGTGAGTGTTGTCAATAGAATCTGCTTCAAGATGTATGTCATTCGCCTCTTTGATTGCACACGCTGATGCACCAGCAGCATTGAGGCCAACAGCGATGGTCGTGTCACAATAAATTGAACCTTTTGAAGTTGAACATATTTATCCGGACACGATATGCATGCTCCAGGTAGCATCCTTCTTGGATTGTACGCGGCATGCTGATTACACGTGCCACCACCACCGACACCGACACCGCCCCGGCAACAGCGACGACGCCGACGACAACAACAACAACAACAACAACAACAACAACAACAACAACAACAACGGCAACAACGGCAACAACGGCGACGATGCCCACAACCAACAACCGGCGACGGCGACGGCGACCGCAACAGCAACAGCAACAGCAACAGCAACAACAACAGCAGCAGCAGCAGCAGCAACAACAACAACAACAACAACAACAACAGCAGCAGCAGCAGCAACAACAACAACCAACAACAAAAAAACGCAAAACAACATACACAACAACGACAACGGCATCGACAACAATGGCAATGGCGACGATGACGCCGGCGACGACAGCAACAGCAACAAGAGCTATAGCATGCTCAATAATCCCAACAGCGACACCGACAACGAGGAGTACAACGACAACGACAACAATAATAATAATTAATGCTAATCGCAGCAGCAACAACACTCCACTAGGGCACAGTTGCTTAGTGATGTTTTCGCAGGTCTTTGACCTCTGCTACAGCGTCTCAGCTGTTCACTATTTGGCCACCGCTTCTGGTGCGGAGCAAAGGACCGGCTCCGGACTTGTCTCCCCCGATTTGGTGGTTCAGGTTTCTATACACGTAGAATGCCACATTAATACCGTGCAAGCCATTTTGGACATCTGAAGTTGTAAAGTATCGTAGTCAGGAAGCAACTGGTGTTGTGACGTTTCTGGACTCACCACATCCCCTCCTCATGTAGGCCGCCTTTCAGAATCGGGGTCTAACATGCACAACGACCTAAGTTGTGCAAAGCATGCCTCACGCCACACGCAGAAAACCGTGTTCTTAGACTTGCCACGACTCCATGAGGAAATCCCCACTTGCCCAGTTCCGTTTGTTTCTGATTCCAGAGGGGCATCCATGCAAGGCGGGCAAATGGTAGTGGCTCATTGCAGAGTATGTTGGCCAAGCTGTGGTGCCCTCGGCCAAGAAAAAACAAACTGACTCTTGGTGAAAGTCAGCTCCTTCCGGCCTTCCTGCCTTCCGGCCACTTGTTGCTTCTAAGTCTTTGGTCGGCCAGGATCCGCGCCTTGACTGGCAGCCTCCGGCGCATCTTGGTGCCTGAGGCGCGGCCCGTGGCTCTGCAAGCCTACCTTACCCGGAGCTCGGGGGCGGTGGAGGCATTCCAAGCAGCCGCCAGGAAGGACCGAGTCGCTGGACATTTGAGCAACGATCCAAAGCCGGGTAGATGAAGTTTGGGACAACCCCAACCATAAAAAGCTGCAGCCGCCTTCTAAATTCCTTAGACCATTTTGGTACCGGGATTTGATTGTGACTCATCTGGAACTCACGTGGAATCACGTGGACTGACTTAAGAGGGATGACCTCGGAGTGCATCATGTCGTGCTATGCCCTGGTTGGCAGCGGTTTTGAAACTTTACATTTACAACACCGAAATGCAAAGCCACCTTCTATTTGGAACATCTGAATCCATAGGGGTGTTTCTTTGTAAGGACTCCCCCAAAACAAAAGTGTCTTTTGGGTTTCCTTTGAAAACCACAAACATGGGCCGCCCTCCTTGGAAAAGACAGACCCATTGGCCGGCGATGTCGCGTGTTTCTGGGATGGCAGGACGGTTGGCTTTGCGATTTGGTGGTGGACCAGTCACATGGCCGCCCTGCGGAGAGGGACTACCTCTACTTGCGCAAGGGTGGGACGGAGCTTGCTCCCCGCTGCGCGCTGTACAGCCGCTTGCCGAAACCTTGGGATGGACGCAAGCGGACCCAGGTTCCCGCAATATGGGTACAAGGTATGGAGTGGAGAGCCCCCATAGTGTCGGAGATTGGACATCTCAACGCCGCTGAGAAAACACAGGAGAAACATGGAAACTGGCAGGATAATGTTTGACTGGTGTGCGGAACACATTCGTACCCTCTTTTAAGAGTGACTTTGCGTCACTCTAAACGGACCAGGCAGGGGCCCCCATTGGGGCCCAAACTTTGGGGCCACTTGCGGAGCTTGCCCCTTGCCCCTCTTTGCTTTGCCTGCATCTAACGCAGCCAAATCATCTATCAGACATCCTGGGGTTCTGCAGCCACTTGCTTCGACTGCGTTTGTCAGTCAATCCAATGACGACCTCAATCTAATCACACTTCAATGACCACCGTATCCAGAGACCCCAGTTTCCCATGGAAGTCATGGTTTGCTTGCCCTTCCTGAGCACAACGGGTTTCGATCCATCAAGATAAACTGATCGTTAATACTCAGGTTTGCTTGGAACCTCAACGCAATGACCAAACCAAGGGTAGCAATTAGGTACTGCGCGCTGTTTTCCTTCAACCGACTTTCGTCTTTCTTAGGATTTGGAACCCCTGAGAAAACTCCGATTTGTTCCATGAGATTTATAGAAAACTCGTAGTCTCCGATGTTTGCGGGACACAATTTTGTGAAAGAAGTTCCAGGACCACCAAAAACAGGTACCGTCTCGTTTTGGTTTCCTTTTACAACCAAACAATCGGTACCGACCCAAAAGACGATGGACTCCGAACGCGTCGCGTGAGGCCACGCGAAGGCTACCTGCGCTTTGGCGTTGGAGGCCTGGGCTCAGCGGCAAAAGGCGCCTTTGGTGAGGCGAGGGGACGGACAGTCGGTGGTTTTGGGTTTCTCTGACTCATTTTCTTGGTAAGCAACAGAAATCCACCCCACGCTATGTCAGTCAACAACGGTCTTGTGTTTTGTTTTTTGTTGTTTTTGTCACATGGGTTTGGGCCATTTTTTTAGTAAACAACACCACGCGGATGTTTGTGTTGGGACAAGCCGCTGGTTGGGAAGGTTGCCCTTACTTGGTGGTTGTGGTTTTCTCACTCGAGTTTGGCTTGGAAATGGTTTGGATCGGTGATTTGGATCGCTTTTGGTGCACTCCCCGGACGTTGAACTTTTAAGACCCGGCAAAACGTTTGGGGACATGTTTGGCCACGGAAGTAAGTTGTGTCAGTGTCGGTTTGGAGCTGTGCCAGGGTTGGCATGATTTTTCTTGTTCATGTGTAGCCAGGTTTGCTTTGGTTGTCAGTGATTGAGTCCCTACCCTCAGACGGGTCGAGGAAACCAATGCCATTGTGTCATGCTTCGGAGATCAAACATGGATCATGGCAGGTGCGATTCAAGCTTGAACATCTTTCAGGAAAGGTTAGGGCTCCGGAGATTTGGTTTTAGCTCATATGGGTGTGCACAGGCAAGTTGCTCTACCATATGGGTGTGTGTGTGTGTGCTCTTGAGGGTACCCCTTTTTGGTGGTTTCAAAGGGAACCAGTAGGAAAGCCATAGTGTTGTTTTTTTGCGGGGGTTCCACAAGAAAAGCGCACTGGCAGCATGGGCAGGGTGAAGTCGCTTCCAGATCCCAGAAGAAAAGCACTGCAAGCGCAGGTTGGACGGCGCGCACAGAGCCTGGTTGGTCAGAGAGCATGATCGCTTTGCTCGGCGGCTCTTGCGCCTGCACAAGCGCAGCTTGTTATGATTGGAGCTTTGGGCTATTGCGAATTGTTGCCTTTTGTGCCAGTTGTTTTCGCAAAGCATGCACTTAGTTTTCTGACTACAGCTTACTCCTCTAGCTTCTGTGTTTCTTGAATTGTTTTGACATGCATTTGACTCTGCTAGATGCTTCTAACCCTGGACATTCAAATGATGTGCTAATTTGATTGAATAGCTGGACCTTCGGCCCATTGGGGTCAGTCTCCTTTCACCAGTCTTGCCCTTGTTTAGCTTCGCTTGTTGAAGAATCGATAGAACGCTGGACTTTTTTTTTTTTCGACCAGGGGTTGGCTGTTTGGGGCATGGTTCCCCACCGGAAGGCAGACAACATGGCGTTGATGTGCTACGTTTGAGCCATTTGTATGCGCATAGTTCTGAAGCACATCTTTGAAGCTGAGCTGGCTTGACCTGGCTTCAGTTTTCTTGAGTGTTACGTAATTGCTGCAGCAAGTCAAGAAAGTGTCTGCTCATTACACATATTCTGCGAATACCCAATATAGTTATAGCCAATAGGGAGACTTCAATCGACATGTCGCGGAGATGTGCCGATGCATCGGTACAAAGGACTGTTGACTTGCAGGCTTTGGGAAGGAGGCCTTGCCAATAGGCGTTTTGATGATTTTTAGGTCAGTGCAAGCCAGGCGTACCTCTCGGCAGCTGCTTCTCCAGTGCGATGGCTGTGTGGACTGTATTGGAAGTATCGGCCTGGTAAGGACTGGGAAGTTGACTAGTAGGTCTCATTGTTTTTGTTTGTGCTGATGAGAGGAGGTGGTGCGTGCATGTGCATCCAAGTGGGGATGGGTTTACATGAGTTCTTATTGAACACCCAGGCTCACACGCTTGCTTCTTTGCCACTGGTGCGGTTGCGCTATATCAAGCAGTAGATCTCGAAAGGACCTTTTGAGTCAATTAGTCAATTGTACATGGATGACTGCAATGGTAGGATGAGGAAACTCATTCATACCACAACACAATGTGGCCTTCAATTCAGCGACACCTCCTTAGTAATTCACTTGCCATGACCCAGTTCATGCTAATCATATTTATAGGCATTTGCATGTGTTTTTTGTTGGTTCCTTCGGCTGCTTGCGGTTTTTGGTGTCCTTCCCAACTTGGCTCAGTTCGTTTCGACTCGTCCGGTTCCGTTTCGAGGTGTCGCAGATGGCGCCAGCCTGGACCATGCGGCTCCCCCTGGCACCGATGCGGCAGCGCTTGCGCAGCGCCTGGCGGGCATCGAGGAGATGGAGGAGGAGGAGCGCCAGCTGGAGCACTGCTTGGCTGCTATTGGGTTGGATCTTTAGACTTTAGCTTTTTAGTGGAAGCCCCCTTTTTGGGGTTGGATTTGTTTGGGGGTTTTCAACACTAGGCCCCCAACAAGTTTTATTTTTTTTTGCAGGGGGGTCAGCAGCAACCAAGACTGATGGTTTCCACTCCAAACCACTGCTCCCGGCAAAACATGAGATATATACCCACACGTCCACAGCAAACAGACGGTGGCTCTGTGTGTCAAAATGACCTAGGGGTGAGTTGATGAGGTGTGACCTGACCTACATTTGGTTGCTTGATGGTATGCACAAAGGGCAGTAGAAGCTGTACGTCAAGCATAGAGGATTGTCAAAGTCGGGCTGTTTGAACGGCTGTGTGCCAAGCAGTCATAGGTGGAGTCCCCTTTCCAGCGAGGGGGGGAACTCCTGTGCAGGCACGCTTGTCTGCCGTGCTGAGCATCCTGCATTCCTGACCAGTTGGATGTGCCCGCAGCGCGCGGGGCAGGAAAACAAGTTGGGCCGTCGGCAGCAAAGTTTTGAGCCGACTTCGCAAACCGACGAATCGTCGGCGACTGCGAAATGCTGAACCTCTCTCTTGTTTGTATTCTTTTAGTTTTTTGTTTTTGGTGTTCTGTTCATTTGTAGTAGCGGCTGCTGACAGCAAAGCCGTTTGCTTCCATACCTAGGCTTGGACAGTTAACGCGTGCTCTGTATGTAGTTCGGTGGCTTGAAGGATCCGAGGTGCCAGCAGCCCAAGTGAGGGTGTGCCATGCTAGCGGAACGGGTGTGTCTTATTTTTATACCCCGAAATGCCTGCTTCCTGATGGTTTCTCTTTCAACCGCCCCAAATCTGGTCATTAGCAGGGAGAGTATGGATACAGGGGCAGAGCTCAGTTTGAGCAGTTGTTGTGTGTTTCCGGTTGGTGTGGGATTTGTGTAATGACAAAGCATCAATAATACGATGAAGCCAAACTAGACTTGCCTTTAGGTGGTTTGGCATTATGGAACGCTAGCAACTGATGTTTGAGCCCTTTAGCTGCTATCTTCCAGCAGCCAATCAATCATAGGTTGCGTGTCAACCGCCTAGGATTTCTGCCATCAAGCATTTCATCATGGAGCCCAAATAACGCAGCAAAGATGGTGGCTCCCTTGGAACGACCTTCAGGCATGCTTGGTCTGGGCTTCCTGACACTTCTATCCTTTGCATGGACACTTATCCGTCGCTCTCAGATGGCTCCAGACAGTAAGTCCTTGCTCTCATGAATTTGGTTTTAGAATGGCTGGCACTTCGGTGCCGGGCCCAAAAGGATCCCTCAGCAAGAACATTGGGATGATAATCCCAGCTAACACTGAAGAGACCGGGAGAATAAACGCTTGATAGCAAGAAGCCGTGTGCATAGTCAGTCTTGCCAGGCTATGACAGCTTAACCGAGCCCAGACGGCAAATTATTGACCTCAAGTTGATCCTGGGCCGTATCAGCCACTGCAACCCAGCCAGCCAAACAGCCACACTGACAAGGCAATAAAGCAGCAGCATCAACGCAAAGAAAGCGTCCGGCGTGCCTTTTCCGACTTGATGCGGCGTTTATCGCTGGCAGAATCTTGACCTTCACGTGGGAGGCTGGCTGTTTCTTTGCCCTAGTAGGCAGTGCCAGGCATGTGTGGGTCGCTTGTTGAAGACCGCCTGCATATGCTGCATAAGTATGACACTGGGAAGTCCAGCGTCGCTTGGGTCATCATGCGCCAGTGAACATGTTTGTCTTTCCACGGGAACAAAGAGCCCGTCTTAGACGTTGATGGGCCTTCTCCTGATATGGCCATCATTGTCAACTGGCTGATTCTGTTGTTTGTTTGCATGGGATCATCTAGCACACACTTGGTTTGAGTTCATGCAAGGGTCCCTCTCTCTGCGTATAGAGTGGTTGCGGTTTCATTGAAACTGTTGCCCTCAAGGCATGACGACGGCGCAGGCGCGGTTGCTTCCCTCCTTGATTGTGCGGATGGGATGGCGAGAGGCGTTCTGGTGGCTTACATTCCACAGCAGATCAGGTCAGCTAATTTAGAGCAGACAGTCTCGCGCTGCACCCCACACCTTGCAAGCGTGCCAGAGAATGCCGCGGCTTTCCGAATATTGTGAGGTCTGCCGGCCTCAGCCAATTTCCCGCTTAGTTTTCTCAATTCTCAAGCCGGCGATACTGTTGAAGTCCTTGATACATGTCAACAAACCACATTCTGGCTCTAGGTTGCTCCAAATTGCAGCCCAACATCAACCTCCTTCCATAGCGCCAAATATCAGCCAACTTGTGCCCAGCCTTTTTGTTGTTGGAATTTAAGAGACTGGTATGGAGGCCTGTTTGGGAAACAAGTGTCAACCAGATAGCCTACAGCGCAATATCTACTTGTGGTATCTTGTATCGTCGTCAATGACAAAAGTATCACAAACCATGGTGATGCTGATGGTGTCGGCCCTCCAGGATCTGTTTGCGGAAGCGTGTAAGGCAGTCCCCAGCATCCGTCATCAGAGATGCTGGTGTCGACCATTGTGGGTTTTAGATAGGCGGACGTCGACCTATCCGGGCGTGTTCTACGTCTTCTCATGCAACTCTCCTTGGAAGAGGCTCACCCTTTCGCACTTTCACAAAAATGGAGTTCACAAGTTCACATGAAGAGAGGCACTCTGATCCTGCAACTCTCTCAAATCCAAAGCTCTCAAAGAATCCGGCCGCTGGCCGCAGTCAGGCGATGCAGCAGCAACAGCAAGTGGTGAACACCATGCTGCAGCAGCTGCCGCAGGAACAGCGATCTCAGATTGAGCAGGCACCCTCGCCCCGGGATGCGGGGTCAAGTGTCAATGAGAACAACGGTTTGGTCAGTGTTGAAAACAAAGTAGGGCACTGGTTTCGCTTTGGTTCTACAAAAAAGCACATACCAGAGTCATCGATGTGTTTCTCACGGCACGCATAGCACGGGCTCCAATGTCCAGTCCTCGAAGAGCCTTGAAGGAGTTCACAGGGCACCAGAAGTTGCTAGGATCGAAGTTGCAGGAAGACAGGCCTAGCACCACAATGTGCTGTTCTCAAGATGTGATTCCAATGATCAGTCAACGTATGTCACCACCAACTTTGTGAATGTGTTTCGGTTGTTGTTGAGTGTAACATGTCTGTAGAGTCATTTCAAGGCATCAACTTTGCGAACATGCGTTCCAAGCATCAGCATGTATACGTGCAGCTTTGCCACAAGCATGGCTAAACTACGCGTGAATCATTGTTTGGCGTATGTAAGGGTTCGTGTCAAATCAACACAAAAGCAAGCAGGGATGCTGGGGGGAAGCAGGGATGTGGGCATATGTGTCGCGCAATATTTGGACATGGTTTCCTTGACGCAATCCTCGGACATCCTCGCTTCCCCTGTATCCGGGCTAATTAGTTTTCCCAATCATGGGTTTGGGGAATCCCTAACAAAGGGTGGTCCAAAGGGGGACGGGTTCCCCAAGGCTCCCTAAGGAACCGTAAAAAAATCCGAAACAAATCCTCAGGAATGCGAGGGCTCTCATACATCTCTGGGATGTAGTGTGTAACAGTGTAGATGGTGGTTTGGAAGCTGGGCAATGCTTTCCAACCTTGGATCAACCGTAGCTAAACTAAGATGTGTTCAAGCGAAGTTGGTCTGGGCGGTTGCTGTCTCACCATGAGTATCACACGTATCCGTATGTGATGCATTTGTTGGGGCGGTACGCTTTGCATTGTAGCAGCAACTACTTAAAAGCAGAAACCATTAGTGGTGTGTATGCAACAGCGCACATACCTCATGCATTTACATTCAGTACTTTCTGGGGAGTGCGCGTGCAAATCTGTATGCAGCACTTCCACATAGATAGGTTGGGAGGATCAAAGAAGTCAGATACTAATCAAGGAAAGCAGGATTACATTGTAGAGCTTGTGAGGCAAGCAGTAAATGGCAAAGAAGCTGCAGAGTGGTTGTGTTTCTCGGAGCTTGGAAGACTGCGGGGGGAGCAAGCGGGTGGAAGCAATTGAATTGAGCTTGGTTTCTGCTTGTCAATACTGACATATACCATCAATACCAACAAACCATATCCGTATTGACAAGGACTTCTTTCATGAGTTCTGCATGGTGCGACCTTTGTTTTATCAGCTTGTTCCTTTGTGAAGCAGGAAGAAAGCTGCTTTGACAAGGACCCTAGTCATGAAATTCCAAGCAGAGAGCAGTTCAACAGGATAGCAGTTAGCTTTGTGCCTCCAGTAACTGCTATTCTTCTGCACAGCTCGCGAATCGTAAGCTCGATGCTCATTGCTTCCTCATGCCCTGAGCTCGAACCGTGCACAGTGCTGCGAACTGCCATCTCAAACAAATCACACAAGCAGTTTAAGGGCCAAGCACCTCCCTAAACCCTACACGTACAGCTTGTTAAATAAACCACAGAAGCAGCGTCCTAAACCCTGTGCGAAGATGCAACCCGCCGATGCGTCAGTTGGTGAACACCTACCGGCAGAGTCTGGGGGCGCGAGGATGCTCCAGCGAAACGGCCCAGGCGGAAGCCGTTTTTTACGGCGGGATATGGCTAGTGTGTCTGTTTTAAGGTTGTCCCCCAAAAATGGTGTTTTTGTTGAGGTGTTCCTTTCAAACCACCAAAAAAAAGGGGTACCCAACAAAAAAGACAGCCGGAAGGTTCTGCCATCGAACTGTTCGTTCAGTACAGGCATTTGAGGGTTGTCAATGTGGACAGACAGCGGTAGTACTCGAGATTTTGTTGGCATCCGGGTGTCTTGGCAAGAGCTGTTGCGTCAGAGGCTAGGAGAGCATAAGCAACCCAGGAAGCTCTCAAGAAGGGTGGCCGAATCGCTTAGGGCAAAGCAGAGCCAAACGTGAGTTCGAAGGAAAATGCAGCGGGAGCTGTGAATACGACATATTGCCAGACACGAAAATTAAACAACACAAATCCCCTGATAGTCATCCTGCTACCGGTGATGTCTCATAGAGCCTTACAAGTTGACACAATCTCTGAAATGTGAGTGGTGGTATAGTAGCAATATCGGGTGCGGCTTTGGTTGACCAGTTCAATTCTAGTTTGTCCGTGTTTGAGCCGATCACACAACTCGCCAGTTGTGGGCAATACTTCACGGCTCGCATGTGCTGCTTGCAGCTAAAAACCAACGCATGCACACACACACACACACACACACACACACACACACACACACACACACACACACACACACACACACACACACACACACACACACACACACACACACACACACACCCACACACACACACACACCACACACACACACACACACACCCACACACGCGCACACGCGCACACGCACACACGCACACACGCACACACGCACACACGCACACACGCACACACGCACACACGCACACACGCACGCACACACGCACGCGCACGCGCACGCGCACGCGCACGCGCACGCACGCACGCACGCACGCA